TGGGGGTCCCCGGCCTCGGCGGGGCCAACGAGTACGACTACGTGAGCTTCCAGTCGGACATCAGCTCCTACCAGAGCGGGCGCTTCTACGCCAAGCCGCCGCTGTGCGTGGCCATCCCGGCCGACCTGCGCCTCTGCCACAGCGTGGGCTACGACAAGATGGTCCTGCCCAACCTGCTGGACCACGAGACCATGGCCGAGGTCAAGCAGCAGGCCAGCAGCTGGGTGCCCCTGCTCAACAAGAACTGCCACATGGGCACCCAGGTCTTCCTCTGCTCCCTCTTCGCCCCGGTCTGCCTCGACCGGCCCATCTACCCGTGCCGGTGGCTCTGCGAGGCCGTCCGCGACTCCTGCGAGCCGGTCATGCAGTTCTTCGGCTTCTACTGGCCCGAGATGCTCAAGTGCGACCAGTTCCCGCAGGACGACGTCTGCATCGCCATGAGCGCCCCCAACGCCACCGAAGCCTCCAGACCTCAAGGTGAGCCACCATCCCCACCGCCCCGGGGGGGGGGAACTCCATCCTTTGCTCCATCCTCTCCCCTCCCCCCGCAACGCACCTGCCAGGCAGGTGGGGGTGTGCCAAAATTGGGGCCAAATCCCAGGCGCACGAGGGACAAACTCACTTTTCCGAGATGTGCCGCGTCCTGGACAGTGACGGTGCCCTGGTTGCATTGGCTGGCGGTCATCTCCGGCCGGTGGCTGTCCCGAGGGCAGAGAGAGCCTCGCAGTACAGTGGCGCCTCGCTAGACAGTTACGCTGCATGACATGTTTTTCGCTAGACATTGACTTTTTGTGATTGCTGCAGTGATTCGCAAAACAGTGATTCCTATGGGGGAATTTCACTGGACAATGTTTGATCCCTGCTTTGCAAACCGATTTTCGCTAGACGACGATTTTGACAGCTCCCTCCGTGCTCACAAAACGGGCGTTTTCGGGACCTAAGCTTCGCAAGATAGCTATTTAAACAGCTGATTGGTGGTTCGCAAAGCGGCTTTCCTGTGGCCAATCTTCACTAGACAACAACGATTCTTCCCCATTGGAGTGCATTAAACAGGTTTCAATGCATTCCAATGGGGAAATGCTTTTCGCTAGACAATGATTTCACTAAACAGCGATTTCAGTGGAACGGATTATCATTGTCTAGCGAGGCACCACTGTAGATCCTGGGTGGTGGCACTGGCTCCCTTGAGTCCTTGATTTGGGGATGGGGGGTCGTGGAGCTTTCAACCACCAGTGGCAGGTTTTCCTGGGATGTCCTCCCGGGTGGGAGGGGATGGTTCCTCGCATAAGGGTTGAGCACAGGCCATGTGTGTGTGGAAGGATGCTGATTTCATCCCGGGCATCACCTCTCAAAAGTTTCTGACCAAGGGGTGGGGGTAGAAGTGTTCACAAGAAACTGGTTGTAAAGAACTCTCCCGGAGAGATGGATCTCTCCCAGTGGATGAGACATCGATCTGGACTATGAGAGAAGGGCCACCTTGATCGGGGCTGGTGGCCTTTGAGGAGGCGCCGCTGCGTGCTTCACTCTGGAGAGGTGGGCACTGCTGGATCCTAACCAGAAGGCCCTGTGCAAGGAAGCCTTGTTGGAAATAGTAGCTGCCAGTTGAGTAGGTAATCTTGGTCTAACTTGTGTGGTCAGTTCTTTGGATGTCAAGAACATACATCGCAGTGACTGCCTGGACTCTGGCGTTGTTGAGGCAGGTTGAGCATCCATGCCGGAAATCATGGTTCAACTCGTGGCATCTCCAGGCAAAGCTGGGGAATTACTCTGGGAGAGCCTTTCCCAGTCACAGAGGTTGGGAATGTTCCTTTTTGGACTGAGTAGGGAACACTAGCAAGGGGATGCTGGGAGTTGTAGTTCAAAACTGTAATTCCTGAGTCATGGTCCTCACATAAGAAAGCATCCTCAGACTCTAGGAAGGCCAGACCGCTGTGTAAAAGCAACCATGCCCCCCTCCTCACCCATACACCCATGCACACTCATGGACGCACACTTCTAGGCTCACAGTAAGAGCTGGTTTTGAGATGTCTATATTATGTGTAGAGATGGGCACGAATCAACAGTTTGGCAGTCCGTGCCAGTTCGTTTATTGGCTGAGCAGGTCTTTGGCGCTTCAAAACCCTGCCTCCTCTGGCAGATGCCCACTTGGAGGCAGCAGCCTGCCCCGCCTCCTCTGGGCGCTGCCCCCGAATGGGCATCTGCCAGAGGAGGTGAGACTTCGAAGCGCTGGACACCTGTTCGGCCGCTAAACGAACCAGCACGAACTGTCAAACTTGAGTTACATAGCCCTCAAGTTACATCTGACTTAACGGTGGTCACAATTGGGTTTTCAAGGTAGGTGAGACGCTTAATTAGTGATTTTAGCAGTGCAACCCCATCAGCGAGTTTCCATGGTTGAGTGAGGCTATGAACCCAGGTCTCCTGAATCCTAGTCCATCGTTCTGTCTAATGTGTCACACTGGCTCTTGTAGATTTGAAAATACACATGCTCTGATCCATATGCGGTAAGGTCCCATGTTAATGGATAGGCAGTTTGGGACAGTAGTTAGTGCAGGAGCATTTACAGCCTGGTGCCCTTTGGATGATTTAACTATCATCACTTACAGCCAGAGCTACCAGTTGTCTGGGATAATGGAAGTTCTGATCCAAACCCTCTGGAGGTGTCCAAGGATTAGAGAGACAGACCAGGGCTGGTGAGATCTGTGGATGCATGATAAAGCTCAGAAAGCCACATTTTGACTAGTTATCAAGGGAGGAGAGAGCAGGGGTGGTGCACAGGGGAGGCAGGGAAGGGGTGGGCCAACAGCGGACAGGAAAAATTGGGTGCTACTGCCCAGTACTGCAGTATATGTGCTAAAAAGGGAGCAGAAAAATAGCATTGGGTGCCATTTTAAGATGTGGTAGGGCTTGATGTCCTGTGATGTGCCCCAAGTTGCTATAGATTCTTTCCAGTTTTTCTGGAGCATGGACTTTTGGCCTTTGCTTCAGGGAGTCCGGATCAGGATGATGGTGCTGCCGGTAGGATTTGCAGGGAAGGATTTTCCACTGCAATTGTCATCATTGCATTTGTGAGTTGAAAGGAATAGTAAATTGCTCCTGAGTATTCTCTGTAACTTAAAAACCCTGGAAAGTGTTGCCATGAGTCAGAATTGTGACTTGATGGGACATGGTAATTCTTATTTTTTTGCTGGCTAGATAGCTCAGTGGCTTACGTATCTGGCTGTGGAGCCAGAGGTTGGGAGTTCGATTCCCCTCTTTGCCTCCTGGGAGAAGAGCCAGCCTGTGTAGCCTTGGGAAAGCTGCACAGTCCCACAGCGCCCCCAGTGGAAGGGAAGGGTAAACTACTGTGTATTCTCTACCTGGAAAGGCCACCATAAGCCAGAATTGAGTTGACAGCACATTACTACTGCTGTTGCTACTACTACTACTACTTTTTTATATTTGCTAGCTGACTTGGGGAAGGGGGGTTTCTTCCATTTCATAACATGGAAATGTGGCTCAACAAAAAATTTAATAGGCTAGGACAGTTTTGTCAGGCTAGTAAGTTTATAATAATTTAATTTATTGTCATTGTAAGTATATACACAGTATACCCATACAACAAAATTCACAGTCTACTTTCCTCAGTCTACTAAGTTTCATGGAATTACTTACAAGGCAAAATTAAGCCTTTGATAGGAGCAGCACCTCACCATTTCCATCCGTGAAAATTACCTCACATAAAAACCCACATTTCGCTCTGCCACAGCTTTCTCTAACTTGGTGGAAATATTTCTGATCCGAAAGTGACCTGCTCCGAGGAGTAGGCTTGTTCAAACGTCAGACTCTACCTGAAACAAACAGGACTTGATGAAGAAGAAAAATAACTAAGCCTAGCTCTGATACTGCTGAGGCAGCTATGCTGAATAGCCAAATGCGTCCTTCCACCCTAAAACTCTGGCAGAAGAAGTCAGGAAAATAACCTCCTTCCTCCCTAGAGATCCCTGTGCTGCTGCTTCTCTCTCTCTCTCTCTCCCTCCCCCCTCCGTAAATGCCTGTCCAGGAGCAGGGCACTAAACACTCAGCTCAGAAATGTAAGAAATGAGATTTTAAAGGAAGGACCGTCCTGATCTTACCACTTCATAAGATTCTCAGGGCACACAGACATTTCTCCAAGATGTTGATGGACTATTTTTAAAAATGTGTCCCGTTATATATTTAAATACCTCTTCATGTATCTACACAACCTCTATACAGTATTTGCATCTAAATCTCTCTGCAGTCCCACTTTTAGAACATTTTACAGATCTGAGGAAATGGATTCTAGTCTACAAAACCTAAGACACCAGACCTATCATCTATGCTGGTTCGCGATGATGGGAATTGTACCACACCAGCACCCCTCAAATTTGGATGGAGGACACAATCTCGGGGAAGGTGGCTTATACTATAAGAACCCTCTTAACAAAAATCATGTGCTGTCAAGTCGATTCTGACTTATAGCAACCCTCTTCACGGTTTTATAGGTATAGAATACTCAGAAGTGGGTTTCCATTCCCTTCGTTCCAGGGGTGCCCTGGGACGACTGTGCAGCTGGCAAGGGTGTCCTGGGACGACTGTGCAGCTGGCCCAAGGCTGCCTAGGAGGCACAGTGGGAGAATCAAACTCCCAACTGCTGGCTCCGCAGCCAGATACTTAAACCCCTGAGCTGTTCAGCCAGCTATTTTTCTATTTGGTGTTGAGCAGCGTGTGCCTCTGGCAGTATCTAACCCAAAGCAAATTACTATGGCCCCAGGAATATGGGGTGGTGGTGGTGGTGGGCAAAATGAACTCTTCTGCAAGGAAAGTGAAGAGAAAATTGGTTGGATTCAGACTTGGCTGATACTCACCTAGGCCAATTGATATGAGCGAATGGAGTCACAACCTATTCCCCTTGTTGTGTGTGAAGCCACGTGATTCGTGCATGTGGAGGTACCCAAGCAGGGGCATGTTAACTAGCAGCAATTTATGCCATGACAATGCAGGTATAAATAACCAGCAGGATTCAGCCACTATGTTCAAAAATAACCATTTTCCTGGTTGATATGATGTAGGATGCCACCAACAGAAAAATTTAAAGCAATTTTGCTTTAGCTCCACCGGCTGCTGATCCATTTCCAGACACAATTCAAAGTGGTGGTTTTAAGCTTTGTTGTTGTTTAGTCGTTAAGCCATGTCCGACTCTTCGTGACCCCATGGACCAGAGCACGGCAGGCCCTCCTGTCTTCCGCTGTTGGGTCAAAGGTTTTAAGCTACCAAATCCTAAACAGCTTGGATCTAAGCTATCTCAGGGACCATGTCCCCCTTTATGAGTCTGCTCCGGTGTTAAGATGACCCTCATCTTCCTGATGTGGTTGCACTGTGGGTTAAACTGCAGACGCCTCTGTGCTGCAGGGTCAGAAGACCAGCCGTCGTAAGATTGAATCCATGCGACGGAATGAACTCCCGTCACTTGTCCC